GTTTCAGCTTCCCAGAGCTAGGATTATGTGGTTTGCACCAACATCCCAGGCAAGAGAGGTATGTTTAGAATGTTTGCACAGTCAAATTGAAGTTCAAATGGCAGCCTGTAAGCTCAGCACTTTGGAGGCTGAGGCAGAAAGATCCCAAGTTCTAGTCCTACCTGGGCAACATAAAGAGATTCTGTCTGAAAATAAAAAATAAAAAAAGGGGCTAGGAATGAAGCTCAGTGAAAAGGTTCTGGGTTCAAACCCCAGTATTCCCGCACCCCAAAGAGCCATATTACCATTAATCTAGCAGCTGGAGGACTGCATCGGAAGATTGAATTTTTCATATTCTGAGTAGATTAAAAATTGTTTTAATTCGATTTGTTTTATTTGGCTGTGCTCCTTGTCTGAGTAGCAATGACAGATATTCCCATTATACATATGAAAATAAAGAGACCAAATGACCCATACAAGAGTTTGCAACTGCACAGTGGTCCTCTGGGCTGTTCCAAGTCAGGCCTTTCATCTTATTTAAAATTAATTTCATTAGTAATCTTTTGATATACATAAGGATCACATTTATCATTGGGAATTTGTACCTCTACATGATATATCCTGATTCTTCTTTCCCCATTCCCTTCTGGCCCTTCAACCTTTATTTACAAACACCTTGTTTACATTTTTTCCTTGGATTCTCCTTTTCTTCTCTTTTCCTTACTTTCTTTCCCTACCCTCTCCCCTGTTCCCTTCCCTTTTTAGCATTTTTCCCACTTGTCTACAGTTATCATCCACTTTGGTCCTTATTTTTTCAGTTTCATCCACAAGAGAAACAATGCGATATTTAAACATGCATGGTAAATTTATTTCACTTAAAAGTATGGTCTCGGGTGCATCCATTTGCCTAAAAATGCCTCAAGTTTATCTTTATGGCAGGGCACTATTCCATTGTATACAAAAAATGTTTTAAAAATCCATTCAAACGAAGATGGGCACCTAGCCTATTTCCAGGATTTAGTTGCTACAAATTCTGATTCTATAAAACACGGGTGTGCATAGATCAGTGTGATACGATGCTTTCGGCTATTTGGGGAAGATACCAAGCAGAGGTATGCCAATTTTAAATGCCTTATATTGCACTTCATTCATTGATTTATTTAAGGTTCAATACTGGACACTAAGTATTTCAGGTACTGCTTTAGCATAGCATAACCTAGGTTTGAATCTGAAACACTTAAAGAAAACAACCAGTAAAGCAGCTGCCACCCTCTGTTCCACCTCCTGCCCCTCTCTCGCGCTGCTAATCCGCCAAATTGATGAGGATGAGGCTCAGTTGCCGGGTTCTGGGAGGTGTGGGAGGGCGACTGCCCTAGCGGCCGCGTGAGCTGCACCTGTCAGCAGGCACACCTCCTCGGGCGAGGCTGCGGAGGGTACAGGAGACCCCACGGGAGACCGCTTCGGGAGGGTAACGGCCCAGACCGGTAGCAGACGGCGTTTAGACCTCGCGGAGGGGAGGCTCGGTCAGCAAGGTATGCTAGGGCTCAAGCAGCGCAGGGCGTGACCGGCTGCCCTGGGCGGGG